ACATGGTATGCATCAGGGCCACAGAATAGTTGACATGAATAAATGAGTGTAAATAATGCACATCCTAAGATATTTCCAGAAACAGTCTGATACAAACACAACAAGCATTTTAAAGCATCCATGACTGACATGAATAAATAGTTTTCAATAAGGCTAATAGTCAGTACTTTGTCATAACATTTGCAACTTTCCTTCAACAGCTAGAACAAAACCAGACACATTTGATTTCTCTTTCTTGGACTCAATACTGTGTCCTAATCACCCCAGTAATTCCTCAATAAACTAAATATAGGTATACTGGCACTAGACAAGACACATCCTTCAAAAATCACACTTCAATGCATCTTTACAAGTGAACATATATGTGTGTGTGTTAAGCTTAAACACACAAAATGATTTAGATTCTAAAATAAATGATATTAAACTGTTGACTTCGATTTTGAACCATCTACATGTAAGAAAGCTAATGCTCATGGACCAGACAGTTCTGACTTCCCATGTCCATTTGATCTTAATCCATAATGTGACAAAAGGGTACAACTAATAGCCTAGTACCAATAAGATGCTTCAAGATCAATCTCTCCACATTGCCAGAAGACCTAAAACTAACATACAGTGAAGATGATAAAAAAATTCATTAGATGCAAAGAAATCTAGATATGCCTAATTTAAACACATATTTTATCAAATCAGACAAGTACAAGACCAAACTAATTGCTAAACTTTGTTGTTCATAAATCTTGCAGTATCCAGTCTTAGGACTCGAATGCCAACAATTTAAGTAGGATGTCCAGAATGATTCTGCACTTCAATTCCAAAGAACGATGCCAATTTCGTGACATCAAGAGCTCTTCCACAAAGCATGTCTAATAAGTTTCCTTAAACATGATAGTCAAATATTACCTATAGCAATGATAAAATGTAATTTGCAATATTTTAAAATTTTCACTACATTTCTCATGCAACATACAGATCAATGATCATATGTAAGTATTCTATACATGACAAGCTAAAAATAATTTAACCAATTGGCGTTCATGAAATTTTTAACCATCCATTAAGTCACTATTACCTCCATCATGGTGAGCTCTGGAGCGCCTTTTATGTGCAACAGCAGCATGCTTGAACTCTGAAACAGCTAGTGCCTTTTTTTGCTTGGGCAATGCAACTTCTGCTGCTTGGAGAAGAACGTTGGCTGAAGATAACCCATGCCCTGTTTGCACTCTGTTCAATTTGGCCAATCACACATAAATGTTCAAGTGCATAAATAAAATCACACAAAAATTACTGAGCAAATATGATCTCTGCTAAGATATGGATGACATATAAAAAATAGCTTTGCAAATCTAGTTATCAAAAAACAAAAGTTTAGAACCATGAAATTATTATTTTCCTTCTGAGAAAAGACTTCTCCTTTGCTTTTGGGACAGCAATTTTTGTTAATTAGTACAGATGAAATACCTTTTTTGTTTCTTGAATGGACAAAACCTATAAGTGTTTACCAACAAAGCAAGATGAAAATGCTTAGACAAAGATGGATTAGAATGAACAGTATATACGATAATAGGGCCTCTGGAGCCATTATGTCACATGCTAGTCTCTTCATAAAATTAATACAAACATCAAAATGTTTAGCACAGGTTTTTTACCTAAACACCTTCTATAATTAAGTTCTTCAGACTGATAACAAACCAGTTGAAAGTTCCATATTTCCAGAACAACTGATTGTAGGAATAAAACTACTATGCATTTTTCCATGCCGACATAAACATGAAATATATAACTTTGCAGACTTTTCATCTTATAATCAAAATCATAAATCAAGTTTTATCATAATGTCCCTTAATAAAGCACCAAAACAGCCAAAATATCCTGAGATCAAGATGTCTTAAGGAGCAGTTCCCACAATGTCAATATCATAGAAATAATCTCTATAGAATAACATAGTAAATAAAGAAATTTTTTGAACTGAGAGGCCTATGTTTCTAAGGTATCACAGACACATATCAACTCTGTCCTATGACACTGACTGCAATATATAAGTTATTGGCTGTGGAATTGGTCTCATGGAATAAAAAGCAAATCCTTTGTGTTCCCAAATGGTTTCTTTTAAGTTCAATTTGTTCAATGACATTAGCCAAGCATGTAAAGGTTGATTTTGGCCAAGAATAGCAAACTGGATGATATTCTAGAGAACAATTTTTGGTTAGCAAGCATCTTTTCCACACCAACTCAATTCAGTATGTTTTTGAGAATCACTTAGGTGACTGTGCCCTTTGTGAATCTCAATTCTCTTTGATCAATATCACTAAAACCTCCAGCTGAGAAGCCTCATAAAAGTCAACAAGCATAATCACTCATTGCTTATAATCTTCTCTATCACAATGGAAAATCAGCTATTAAAATTAATTTCAAATTTGAGCAACAGACTCACTTCTCTTATGAATATTCAAATTAAATAATGATCCATGTCCGTAATTCTAGATAAACTCCAGTTTTTTTTATCGAAAGAACTGCTTACTAAACAAGAATGTCTAAAATCATCAAATGGAGACATAAATTTTCAAGAAAGTGTAATCATTCACAAACGTAAACATCTAATTGCTGAAGCTACATGCACAAAGAATAATCCAGAACCCTACAGATTTTTCCCGCACCCAATTTTGACTTGAAAATTAGCAACCAATTTCTTAACTATTCCATCTCTTAGTTTTACGGTCACCATCAATGGTAACTCTCCCAAAGCAAACATTTTGTGTATCGATCTTGTCGAATACAATTTCTGTAATTACATCTACAAGTTACCAATAACCCACTCAAAATTAATGCTTCCTTTCCGAGGTTTCTCGAAAACCTTTGACGGCACATATTGAACTTTAAGATCAACGAATTTTGTACTGCATGCGCGAGACCTAGATCACAGATTCTCACTCGGGAAGGAGGCGGAAGGCGGAGAGGGTTTCCTGGAAGACGACGGATTGGAGGTTCTTGGGGAGATCCGCGTAGGCGAGGCGCAGGATGAGGCCCAGCTCGTGGCACGCCGACGGGTAATCGTGGGCACGCGAGAGGGCCTCGGCCAGCCCTAATTTCTCGTATCGCTCTCTCACCGTTGCTCTCCCCATCCCTCCGTCCGTCCACCACCGACCGACTCGCCACCCGATTTCGAACGGGAAAAAAAAGGCAACGAATCATAAAAAAGAATGGTGTGTTTTGTATACACCTAACCACAGTTAGGTTCGAATCGAAACGGGGTCAAAATCGGAACCGAACTGTCCCGCACGGTTTACTACTTCCAAATCGAATCGAACCCGGTTCGATTCCGGTTCTTAGGTTTTTAGGTTTAGAAAATCAAAATCGATAATTTCTAGTTCCAAATTGAATAATCAGTTCCGTAATTTTAAATTTATTTTTATTAATCAAAAATAAATTTAAAATTTTTGTATTATAATTTTTTTAATTAAAATAATAATAATAATAATATTGGGATGACGTTTGTCGATTTCGTTTCGGTTCCTAATTTTAAGGAATTAGAACTGTCGATTTATTTAAACTCAGTTAAATGAAAAATTATAAAATGTGACTCCTTTAAAAAGTAGTGCCTATTTACATGAATGCCCTCCAAATTATTTTTTTAGTTTTATATATTTATTGTTTAAAAAATATATCCCTTCAAAATTTAATATGCAAAGAATTATAATTCTAGTAGTAGAAGAGGACGAAGAAGAAGAAGAAGAGAGTGTGGAGAAGAGGAAAAGAACGAGCATCACAAGGTCATATGAAATAATTAAAAGTAATATCATCATATGGTGTGAAAACAAATCATCGATATTTTTAACTAATAATAATTAAAAGAATAAAATAAAAAAAGATCATATGAAATCCCTATGCATCGATATTTTAAAATAATAATAATAATTAAAAAATTAAAAAAAAAATGACGGTTGGCATATCGTTTTATATCTAAAGCTATAAATACCAATCGATATGAACTAATTCAAACCGGATCGTATTTCATGGATCTATAGGCATATAGATCGTTTCAAGTTTTTCATTATCTACTACTCATAGTGGTTATCAATAATTAATTTGAGCTAACTCATATAAAAAAGATAATTTAAATGTTTGAACTATCCTTATTATTCATATCAATTATTATGTTTTTATTTTCTTTTGGGTTTCTCTTAGTCACACTTATCCTTTATGACACTCTAGCTTTTCTCTTTTCTTATTTCTAAGGATTGTATCAAATATTGGGAAAGAATCAAAGAGTTGGAGCAAAAAAAAAGACCATACAATAAGGAGAGAACTAGAGCATTAAGAGTAGCCATCCAATTGCAATAAGGTACTAATGTGAATTGAAATCTTAATGCCATTATATCATAAATCAATTTTTAGATATTAAATGTTTTTTAGAAAGCATTCAGGGGTTTTTGTTTGGCATGGTATTGGAGCTTTTTTATTTTCCTATAATTGTAGGTGTTATTTTTTAAAAAATTCATATTTGAAGGGATATTAATCTCAATCACTCATTATTTTAAAAGGTAATTTTGTATTATCTTTGTTCCCTGTTGGATAAAGCAAAAAAAAAACATGAAATGGGAAAAACAAATAATAATCCTGAGACTATGAAAAAAAAAATGCCAACAAAAACCAAATAAATGCACAGAAATCAATTGGTTTTTAGTATATTTGTCGGTTTAGAAATACATGCATCAGAAAAGCATCTAGTGACATGAAACATAGGTAAGAAATAAGTCATTTTAAGTTTTGGTTCCAAATCTCATCTTACTTGACCTAAGGACATGAAACTCACAGTGAGACCTGAAACCAAAGTCAAAACTCAAGGAACAGAGTGCTTTGTCCAAGTCAAAAACCACTACATAATGAGAGGAACAAGATTTAAAACATTTGTATCTAATGATCTCAAGATCTTCAGTTCTTGGTTCTTATGACATTGCTGAAACCAAAATGGCATTTCAATCCAAAGAATTTGAGGGTGATTTTAGACAAATATAATCTTACTCTCAAAGAACAAAAAACTGACTCAAACAGAGCCAAGTAAAAAATGAAGGAAAGAGATAAAAGAGCTTGAGTTGCAGTATAGAATTTAGATCTACAACACATCAGTATTAGATATACAGGACATCATTTTGTTTTCTGGTCATACAAAACGGAAGACATTGCCTCTGAAACCATCTTTCCTTATCATGACAGTAGTGGTTTAATTAACCCCAATGGAGGATAACTTCTATTTACGCTTGTGGATGGCCTCCGAGCTGTCATTTCTCATCATTGCGACGAACTCCTCATAATTGATTCTACCATCCTGAAACATTTGTACAAAGTGATTACATGGGTGAAGGGTGTCTGATACAAATGATTTTGCTGAAACCAAAATATTCGTCATTAAACTATGCTTGACGTGTCTCCTTTTCTAAATATTTTTTCTCATTTTTCCATGACCAATCTCAGTATCTGGCCCTCCAGTCAACTATGTATAGGAGGCAATCAGCAAACAATTAAATTTGTTGTGGTCAGTGATAAATTGTAGCATGTGACTATGTATCTCACCTCACAAACTTTTGAAGAGTTCTACTCTTACCGCAACAGAGCATGTTACAGAATTAGAAGGTCGAAGCTCCAGCTACACATAAATTTTAAACTGCTTCCTTGTTTTTTTGGACATTGCATGATACTTAGCTCATACTACGCCACCAGTTCACAGATTGAAATTTATAACAGTAGAAATGCAAATGATGCACTATACAAGAAACCAAATTCACATTCTAAACTAGTATTTCCACAAAATTAAAATAAGAGATCGGTGATGAGATACCTGCTAATCCAATTTTGCATGTCAGAATATGTACTCTCCACATTTGTGGATGTTCCACAAATTATTTTTGGTCAAATGTATTAAGAAGCTAAGTTTTGGGTCCTAAAGCACCCTAAGTTGTTGTTCCATGCAAGCACTATCCAACTAAATGCATCAGGGATTTGGTCTGGCAGTATTTTTCAATTGTGACAACTGTTACTAGACCACAAAGAGATTGGGATAAGTGTCAAAATAGGATGTGTATTTTGTAAAATATGTTTTGTCAAAATCATTAGATTTTGATACAAATAGTCAGAGATCTGACATGACAAGAAAAAGGTCCCTTTCTAATATTTATCACATAGTTTAGGTTATTTTGCTTTTAGATCTGTTTGGTCTACTTTTTTGTATTTTATTTGTTTATTACGTTATATATTTCCTAATATCTTGCAATATCTGGACTCTGCTGTTCAAGGAAATTAGAAACCCTCAGAAGTATGAACGTTTTTGGTCCTACTAGTCCTACTACAGGTTCTGAGTAGCTTAAGATATATGTTAGCAGAAATATTTTTTTCTTGTGGCTTCAAAGGTTACTTTAGAGTTTAGATTTACATGCATTTAGCTTTAGGGGCTCTATGAGATCACTTGTCATGAATCAATTAGTTTTAGGTGACAAGTACAGGAGTAGCCATTTGGCACATCTTCAGCAGCATCCAACTCTTCTTTGGTTGCAATCCTAATAAAAGCATCGATGGCACTGTGATTCTGGCAAGGTGGCATTTGGTTTAGGATCAAAATCACATACAAAGGAACTGACTAAAACCAAAAGTGAATTGACCCACTTTGCACTTTTGGTTTGTGAACCAAAAAAAAATATTTGAGCTGGTTGGAATGAGAAGTTTAATTGCAATATGGAAACTAGATTAGTATATGTTTTCATCAATATAAGAAATTCAAATTAATTTTGTCTGATATCGGTACACAAAATATTTTTTCATCATTGAATCCATGTACTTTATATATCAAATCCCAAAGTGGGGAAGGTGGATTCCTGTAACTCTATTGTATATGCATATCCGATAACAATTTAAATTTAATAGTCATCTTACTATCTATGTTGAACCAACCAACATGTGAATATTTTGCCAAATTGCCCTCACAAAACGAGAGTTTTCCAATATTTCCTTGTGTATCCCACTTATAATTCATAATTTTGTATGTGCAATAGGTGAAACTAACAAATGAAGTGTAACAGGCTTCCAGTGTCTATCAAACATCAACAATCATAATTGTTCATTCTAGTCCCTGACGAATATATATGATCATGTCCTAAGATTCTAAATAGACACTACTTCCACTAGAAGTAAAGTACTTGTTTCCAGCCCGTAAGTATCAGCGCATTCCATTATCATAGCTCTCAACTAAAAGAACGATAATAACAAATCCTTGAAACAAACTGGACTACATCAAATGCATAAAGATACCCTATAACATGTCATATGTAAATTTGAACTTTACTAGTTTTTAATGAGAGCATAGAGACTTACATTATTGATATCAACTTCAGCAATTATCTCTTTGATTGTTTGTTGATCACCCATGTTGTATTTCGTGAGAGCTTGCTCCAATTCCTCAATTGTGATGTATCTAGATAAAGTTAAAAAATAGAAAATATTTAGCTATCAAGTTTATATTTTTAGCAAAATGTGACTTTAAAACATGAAAACAAGAAGTTACCCGCTCTTGTCCTTATCAAAATACTCGAACGCCTTGAATAGGTGATCTTCTTTTTCCATTTTGTTCATATGCATAGTAGCTGTTATAAATTCCAGATAGTCAATGCTCCCATTTCCATCCACATCAGCCTGTAAGCACATTGGTGGAAATTAATTACTGCAAGTAGAATAGGAGCAATATCCAGATTTCAGCATAGCTATACATTTCCTTGACATTGTTACTTTGTTTTCATTTTCATCAAATACAGCTCACACAAGTTAGATCCTTGTGAACTTTACCTTCTCAGCGGCAATGCCTCAGAGAATGACAAACTTTTCAGCAAAAGTGTTACTGTTTATATTTTTTTACATTTTCATATAGGTTCAATTTGATTTAAGACATGTCTAGGATGTGTAATTAGTATATTATAAATGATTAATATACTTAAACAAATATTTAGCTAAATCAATACTATATGCTATAGAAAATAAAGGTCTAAACCAAAACAAATATGATGGATTAGGAAATGAAATTTCAGTGGACGCTGGAAGGATTGACTTGCAGGTAACCAAGAAGATGTGGGTGATCAAAGGACATCACGACTCCTAGATAAAGGGATGATTGTCCCTTGACAGAGCCAATAGTGGAAAAAGGATGATGGGAGACAATTTGAGAAATAGCTGAAATGTATGTTCAGTTGGTCACATCCTTGGTGCAAAAACAAGTCTCTTAAACTTAAAGATACCTGAAGGTGAAAGCTGAAACTAATATTTATACATATATATTTGTCTACGGCACTTGATAGAACGTAGACAATCCCTGTTGGAGATCGGTGTGTGGAATTCATTCCTTAAAGCTTAAAAACTCACAGCAAATGAAGGCGGGTAGTTGTCTCAGCAATATTGCACAGACTTGAGACAGAGTACACAGTCATAGTAAATAAGCTTGAAACAAGAAATGTACGTTCGAGAATGAATGATGAAAGTAGGAAAACAAGGTATGATTAAGTAGTACATTAAAGAAATTACAATTACTTTTTTAGTTATGATATAGCAATGAATAAGCAGTCAGGGCCCTTAAAGAAGTGAGGATGGACTTAAAATTAAGCAGAAAGATTTTTGTATTTATGTTGAATTGATTGAAGTAAGAGAGTTAGTGGACATGATTTTTTTAATGCATTGGACATTAGATCAAAATGATGAACGAAAAATAAAGGTTAGTGGATTAGAAAAAGAAAGAATTAGTGGATTATTATCTCTTTAAATGTGATAATAGCTCTTGTTTCCTTTAAAGAAAGAACTCCAGGGTTTACAAGATTTATGGAATCCTATTTCTCAAAAATATGGTTACTTTCTAAGATTGCTCCCGCTATGACATGAGTAATTAAAACTCGAGATATAGAAACAATTAGTCTGTGTAATAATGAGGATGCATATTTTGATCCTAGAATCGCACATGGGAACCTCATGTGTGTAAACACCTTTTTTTGTTGGAAAATAATCAGTGCTATGGTTGACATATAATTCCATTCGGTCTACCAAGCTTCTTGTCACTCTACTAATTCACATAGCTTCCATTGAATGAACTAAGTTGTTTGAAATTTCTTGTTTATGTTTACAAAATATGCGTATCAGAATGAGTATTTAGGTCCATTTCCGAGAAAGTATTTTGGAAAGCTGATGAAAGAAGAATGGCTAAAGGATGCTGAAAGATGAGGAAAAGAACCATACCGCCTCAATCAGCTGCTTAACTTCAGATTCAGAAATCTTGATACCCAGATTGCCCAATTTGGGAAGACCAGCCTTTAGTTCTTCAACAGTCAGTGTACCGCTATTATCAGTGTCCATTGATTTGAACATTTCTTTCAAGCCCATAATTTCTTCCTCTGACAAGCTTTCTGCTATCACCTGAACACAAAATGTATGAGGTAAAAATTTAGAATGGACACTGAACAGATGAAAGATGGGTAAATTGAATCAAATGAACTATAACTACCTTCAAGGCTACTTTTTTTAGTTTGTTCATGGCCCTAAACTGCTTCATTCTAGTCAAAACCGCAAGATCAAGTGGCTTATCAGGAGCCTCCCCATCTTCTCTTATCCATGGATGTTCTGCAGTAACGTCATTCATGGTCAAACTGAGAGGATTGATGTTCTTCATGAGTGATCTAAAAGTTTTCCAGAATTGTATTTTTTGGAGCAGGAGAAGTGTTAAAATTGTTAAATTCTCGTAAGTAAGAAGTTGCAGAGCATCTCATGAAAGAGACATTTGGCATCAGAGAAATTCATGTAAATGCATGCAGAGAGCAGAACAGAATGGCACTGAAGCTTTTCAAGATCATCCGAAAAAATATTAATATGTACAATATAAGATAAGATTTGGATTCAGATAAGATTTTGTGCCTTGAATCTCATCATGTAAAACAGCTGAAATTTATAAATCTTACTGAGGATTTCAGCTGCCGTGAGTCGTTCTTTCGGATTGGTTCTTAGCATCTTCTTCACCAGATCTTTAGCACCAGATGATATAGTTGGCCAGGGATCAGCTGAGAAATCAATATGTCCATGTAATATGGCAGCAAAGATGCCCTCGTCGTTCTCTGGAGAGATGAAAGTAGCAACTTCAGCTGAATTCTCCATAATCTAGACAATGATTTTGAATTCAATTCAAGTTTGATAACTCCTCACCTGCCCAAAAAGGAGGAACACCAGCAAGAAGGATGTACACGATTACTCCAGCACTCCAAATGTCAGCCTCTGGCCCATAATTCCGTCGCAGCACTTCAGGAGCAATATAATATGCACTACCAAGAACATCCCTGAATACATCTCCTGCGGAGGCATTTCATTCTTTTGCTGTTAGCACATCTTAGAGAGAATGAATCAAATAGGATCTCCGAGTATCCCTTCCTCTTCATGCAACATCTAGTTGGAGATCTTATCATGTCTCAAATTGCTACAAACCTTCCCCAATGGCCATGGTGAACGCAGATTATATGGTCGGGGATACATCGTGTCATGTGGCTTTCTCCCTGACTCCACATTGTAATATTTGTGTCTATTGAGTTATATGGATAAAAATGGCCTTTTTGTGGAACACTTCAAACCAAGAAGAACAAGAACAGATTTATACATAAGAAAATTACCAAGATCAAAATCAGATATTTTTGCTTCCATGTAATATTTAATAGATGCAGTAATCATGTTTCTTATTTTGATGATGATTAATCCTATCAATAAAACAAGATCACTTCAGGAACATGAAGAGACTGAGGGCTTTTCTGTATTACCGTGCTTGAAGAAGGTGGAGAGGCCAAAATCGGTGGCTTTGAGCGGCGAATCCTCCCTTTTGTTCAAGAAGAGGAAGTTCTCGGGCTTGAGATCGCGATGCATCACCCCCATGGAGTGGCAGCAGTGGACAACGTTCACGATCTCCCGGCACAGGGCGGCGGCTGCCCGCTCGGAGTAGTGCCCCCGGGAGATGATGCGGTCGAAGAGCTCGCCGCCCTCGCACAGCTCCATCACCAGGTTCACCGACCGTCGGTCCTCGAACGCACCCCTGAGCTCGACGATGTTGCGGTGGCCGGTGAGGTGGTGCATGATCTGCACCTCGCGGCGGACGTCCTCGAGGTCGTCCCGGTTCGTCAGCTTGCGGGTGGCGATGGACTTGCAGGCGAGGACCTCACCGCTGGCCCTGTTCGTGATGAGGTGGGTGACGCCGAACTGGCCGCGGCCGAGCTCGCGACCGAAGGAGTACGTGGCGTGAACGTCCTCCATGGGGCGACGGAGGACCCGGCCGACGCCACCCCCGCCACCGCTGCTGCCTCCGCGGAAGTGCGAGCGGAACCGGTGCCTCCGCGAGCCGGCCTCCTGGCTGTCGTCGGCGTGGCCGCGGCGGGAGGTGTGGTTCCCCATTGGCTCGGTTCACTTTGGTTCGCTCTCTCTCTCTCTCTCTTTCGGTCTCTAATAACAGAGCGAAGTGGTCAACGAAGCCATCGCGAGAAAGCCGGACTTGACGACCGGTAATGGCCGTTCGGAGACGGCAACGCTGCCACGTTGATGGTTCAAGTTAGGCACATAACGGAGTATATATCATTCTTCGCTACAATGTTTGTAACTCTTTGTTACGTCATCAGTTGTTTTTGACGGTTTCTCTCCTCTCTGCATATCGTTGACTCAGTCTGTTCTTGTAGCGTTACAACGTTTATAACAAATCAATCATCACTAACATAGCAACGCAATATACACAATATATATATATATATGTAAATAAATAATATGTCACGGTGGAAGGATATGATTTTGAGTTGTCGTCACGACATGTGCGATGTTAATTGAGAATTTGACCAAAGTAGGTGAGAAGAAGAAGAAAAGAAATGGTTTGACTACGTTCGATTGGATGTGAAGGTAGAAATAGTTGATTTCGGATCGGTGAAGATGGGTGACCTCAAAACCCGAATCAGGTAGAAAGGCACTATCATAGTCGATAAAATCGAAATCTAGTGAAGGATTAAAGCTGATGTTGGAAGATAGGGGAAATAATTCCTCTGAATTTTTCTTGCAACCAAAAGCCTTAATACCAAGTGTCAAGGAATGATAAATCTATTTAAAATTGAGTTTTAGGAACGTCGTATATGTTCGAAGAATATATGTGCTTAGGTGAGTCATAAAAATGTTGGCATAGATTTTTGAGAGATAAATAGAGGTAGAAAATATATTCTATAATAGTTTAGAAAGGAATATTTTCGTTTTAGGATAGGCATTAAGAGCCTTCCATCCAAGCTAATCGGCTTTGTTATACTGATCCTCCCTTTTCAATAGATGATAGGCACTTTTGACATTAAAAGAATTAAAACTAATAATCATCATAGAGAAATTGTATCAAATGAATTGAAAAATGAGTGAAAGTAATTTTGATATCAGTTGGAGACTTTAAGGTATTTGTTAAAATGATCAGGATAGAAAATAAAAATGCATTCGTGTGTCATTCTCTATGCATTTGCAAATATTACTATAGATAAAAATGTATGATTAAAACTCCTCTAGTGTGTGTATATATATATATATATATATATATATATATATATATATATATATATATATATATATATATATATATATATATATATATATATATATATAT